TATATATATATATATATATATATATATTTATTTATTTATATATTTATTTATTTATTTATTTATTTTTTTTCCCTACTCCCCTCAGGAAGGAGGTTGAGGAGCATTAAGTGTAGAACCACTAGACTGAGGAACAGCTTCTACCCTGAGGCTGTTAAACTCATGAATCTCTAACCAGAATAATCACTGTGAAAAATCACATCATGTTGCTGCTGATCTGTTTCATGTTGCTGCTGATCTGTTTCATGTTGATGTGTTCATTTGTGCTCATCTGCTCACACAGACTCATGTTCGTGCTGCTGTTCGGTGTATTGTTTTTGTATTACTAGTGCTTAGTGTATTTTTAGGTTGTTTTTCTTAGTTCATATCTTAGATCTTGTTACTGGTTTTTTTTTACTTTTTATATTTGGATGTACGTGGGACCCTGTGTACACAATTTTATTCCACCACATGTACCGCATGTGGTGCATATGACAAATAAAGAACCTTGAATCCTTGAATGTTACCAGTACATATTTAATTAAAAGTTTTAAAAATCTTTCTGTGTAAATACCTCATGTTACAACGTAGACACCTGCAGCTTATACGTGTACAAAAAAAAAAAAAGTTTTTTATTTATTTAATGGGTGTGGCTTATATTCAAGTGCACTCAATTGTCTGGAAATTATGGTTCATGAAAATGTAGCCATTTTACTCTTTCATAAAGTGCGTCTGTCACAGCGATGGGGCTGACTCTGATTCCTGCAGACTGCAGCGTGCACACATCCATACTCTTGCTGACTTCCAGTGATCATGCGCTCACAAGTTTCTCTTCAAAACTGAAACTGAAAACAGTGTGGACACATAAAAGATGACATCAGAGGGAACCAGACCATCTACGTCTTACAGTTCAGGCGTTCTTTTTAAGCAATATGGAAGAAATTTCAGGCAGTCATTTGTTTTCAGAAATGTTCTCATTGTTGTTTTTGTCTCCAGCTTGCCCCAGACGATGCCTGGAAATGCCCCCACTGTAAGCAGCTGCAGCAGGGCATGGTGAAGATGAGCCTCTGGACCCTGCCGGACATCCTCATCCTCCACCTGAAGCGCTTCAGACAGGTGGGCGAGAGGAGGAACAAGCTCACCACGTTTGTGCACTTCCCCCTGGCGGGCCTGGACATGACGCCTCACATGGTGAACCGCAGCAAGGCTCCACAGCAGGTCCCCCTTCAGCCAGGCTGGAAGCACTCCAGGAAACCGGACCTGGCTCCTCCGGACTTCCTGTATGATCTGTATGCTGTCTGCAACCACCACGGAGGGATGCACGGTGGTCATTACACAGGTTGGAACACCTGTTGTGAACAACGATCAATAACAAGAGTCCAAATGATATGACAGGCTGAAAAATAAACGTGAAGTAATTTTGTTCAGAAAGTTGGTTTGACTAAAACGTTGTTTTTGAGCAATATTGATGTCTATAAAATAAACGATGTATGGCATGTATTTAAAATAATACATATCTATTTTTATAATTGCAGCTTTTTGTCGTAACTCTGTGGACGGTCAGTGGTACAGTTACGATGACGGCAACGCCGAGTCTGTTCCAGAGGCGGAGGTGTGCACACGTGGAGCGTATATTCTTTTATACCAAAAAAGAAGCACCATGCCTCCCTGGTCGGCAAGCTCCTCAGTCACTGGTTCGTCCAGTTTCACTCTGTTTGACTTTGCTTTGGTAATAAAGTTCCTCTCATTTATGAACCGTCAACTTGATGTTCTTGTAGGTTCTACCAGCTCATCGGTCTCTGACCACTGGCTGGTCCGACTCAGAAGGGGGAGTGAGAGGGGCAGCGTGGTTTCAGGTGATCCTGCAGCTTTGGAGGCCGTGCAGGCTTCAGAGTCTCCTGAGCTGCCAGTCTTTAGAGATGAATGCATCAAAAGAGCCGAAACGGGTAAGAATGTAAAGCAAAAGGTTTTGGTTAGAATTAAAATGCGTCCAGGTTTTATGTTTATGCAATGCTAAACACAGATTTATTTGTGTGAATGTTTATGAAGCATTCACTCTATTGTGATCCTCCTTCTGTAAGTTTTCTGCATCTTGTTCCACAATTTTTGTGCTATTTCAATAAATCACATCAAAACGTTCAGCACATTCTGGAGAATCCTGCCATGACTTTTGGTATGGGGAAACTTTAGCTTTTTGAAATATTTAGCCTTTTCTGCCATTTTTTTTCCTCAGAAAATTTATTGAGTTCATTTTACATCCTTCAAATCTTTAGATCTGTTGACATCCTTCTACTACTCCTTTCACATTTTGTTCTGCTTCAGCTTCTTTCAACTTCCTTGTGCAAATTTAAACATTTTTTTCAGCTACTTTCAGCTGTTTCTTCAGCTGTTTTGTGCTCCTTTCAGATTCTTTCTGCTAACTACAACATTTTTCTGCTTCTTATAACTTTCTTTTAATTTCAGCTTATTATGATCCTTTCAGCTTATTTACACGTTTCAGCTTTTTCTGTGATTTCAGCTACTATTTAGCCGTTTTGATGCTAATTTTATCTTTTTCATCTAATTCCACATTTTTTGCACTCATTTAAACTTTTTTCAGCCTAATTCAGCAAAAATGTGCTCTCCACTTCCTTCTGGTAATTTAAGTTTCTTTCTGCCTTTTTAGCTACTTTGCAGCTGATTTTTGCTAATTTACGTTTTTTTCAGATAATTTCCACAGTTTTGTGCTCATTTCTACTTCTTTCAGCCTCATTGGGCAAATGAGTTCTTTCTGCTTTCTTCTGCTAATTTCAGTTCGTTATGCTCCTTTTAGCTTATTTCTGCTAGTTTCAGCATTTTCTGCTCTTTCAATTACTGTTTAGCTCTTTTGATGCAAATTTTTGCGTTTTCAGCTAATTCTACATTTTTTAGCTGATTTCTGCTTATTTAAACCTACTTCAGCAAATATGTGTTCTTTCTGCTTTCTTCTGCTATTTTAGGCTTGTTCTTCCATTCCAGCTACATTTCAGCATGTTTTTAGTTAATTTCAGTTGTTTTTCAGCAAGTTCTTCAGCAATAAGTATTCACACTACATTTTCACAGGAAATGCACTTTCTCTAGTTGCAGTTGTTTATGATACATTAACGTGTTCATATTAGAAACACTGTGCACCCAGAGGTCTGGAATCATCCAATAGCTAGACATGCTAGTGTATTGTCATATTTTATGTTTTTGTGTAAAGCTAATTCAGATTTTTTTCAGGCTGCTGTTCTATTTTATTAGTTGAACATGCAATACTCTAGTGTCATTGATTAATCTTGTCTTCCTGTAGACGGATCTGGAGTCAACCAGCTGGTTCGAGGGACCCAGGTCAGGAGTTTAAGCATGAGGTCACCGGCTAAACCCAAGGATACCCTGAGCAAAGTTATCCCACTGAGGTGGTCCTTTGGGTCCAAAGACCGCATCAAGCACTCAGGTCCAACTCAGTCTGGAGAGCTGGTGGAGTACCTGGAATCTGGACGCCGACCACGATGCACTAAAGACCCTATCATCGCCTTGGTGGCCACTCCGCCTTTGAGGGACACCCGAGGAAGAGTCGTCGAAGTGGGTCAGGACTGCAGCTCACCGAGCGGCAGTAGTCTCAGCTGTACAGAAAGACTTGGCTCTGACACGTCTTATTCCCCCAAAAGACCAGAGGGACAGAGCAGGCCCTGTCTGGAGAGAAACCTCAGTCATGGATCTGGAACCGGCAGTCGTATCAAATTCAGAGATGATGATTTTCTGAGGCAGGGATCGTCTAAAAAACTGAGGACAGATCAGGTCAGAGCCCTGGATTTCCAGCTGCAGAGAGGGGGCATTCTGGGTGGTCACATAAGCCACAGTGCTCCACCAAGCAGAGACTCCACACTGAAAAGGACCAAGGTCCAAACAGGTGGGACCTACAGGTGCCAAAAAGACTTATTGCAGATGGGTGTTCAAAGTGAGGACAGGAAGGGGCAGAGAGGAGAAGAGGCTCAGAGCCAGGACGGCCTTGTGTCAATTCTCAAGCCTGTTTTTGTGAAGAAAGACATTCCTAGATCACCAGTTAAAGAACAAGACAGACGAACAAACCTGGGAAAACTGGCAAACAGTCATTTGGCCAAGCTTTCTTTCTCCAACGGGACACTTCCTGCAGTGCAACAAGAAGACAAGAGAGGGTACATCATCCCCAGCTGTGACCCCCAGAATTGCAAAACTCTGCTGGTGAATGGAAAAGCTGGGACTCTGGAGCCTGTCGACATCAAGCGAGCTCACAGCTCCAGCAACATCGAAACGAAGCTGGATGTAACGTTTCGCAGGTGTGCCTCTCTGCAGAGGAACGGGGACGTTGTGGTTCCTGCATCGCACCGAGTCCTGCTGTCAGACAAGACTGGCTGCTCCACTTTACAGCGGACCAGATACAGCACCACCTCCCTGGGTAGGCACAGATGTGTCCCCATTTTTGACTCTTCTAAAATAAGCTTTTACTCTTCATCCAAAAAACAAGACTTGTCTAGATCATGTGACTGTTCACTTGACCAACCATCAGATATGCATTTAGTGGGTGTTTTTATCAATTTCTGGCCTTATTTGCAAGTGCAAGCAGAGGCAGCTAGCTGTAGCAATAGTTGTGCTGCCTGTATTTTATTTATGAAAACCATGTCATGTGAAACTGGCGCAAAGTAAAAATTGATGCGATGTCTGGATGAGCCACTTTAAAATTTGAGATACTGGAGTTGTCTGAATACAGCTGCAATCCATTTTGGCCTCGGCTCCAGTAGAACTAGCTTTTAGCTCATCATTCCAGTCAGAAATATACTTTTTTTTTTCAAACTAGGTCTCTCCCAGAGCTATATACAACAGGGGGGCTTTTCCACAAAAACACTTCGATCAATCTGAACTACTTTATGCTCAAAAGTTTTATACCAGCAGTTGTAGAATCACCTCGGGTTTTGAAGGTAGGTTGATGCAAACTAGATTCAGACACCAGAAAGATTTTACTGAACTATTTCAAATGGTGCAGTTTGAAAGATTTTACTCCACTAGTTTCCTATATTTATTGACATGTTGTTACGTTCATTAATCAACAATATGAGAATACAATTGTATGGATTTTGTTTCTTACGTTGCAAGATGCAAAAGTTATGTTCTCTTCGGATCGAGGGTGAGGTTCTGCCTCAAGTGGAGGAGTTCAAATATCTCGGGGGTTTGTTCATGAGTGAGGGAAGAATGGAGCGTGAGATTGACAGAGAGATTGGTGCAGCATTTGCAGTATTGTGGACTCTGTGTCGGTCCGTTGTGGTGAAGACAGAGCTGAGCTGTGAGGTGAAGCTCTGTTTACCAATCAGTTTATCTTCTAACCCTCACCTATGGTCACGAGATCTGGGTAGTGACTGAAAGAATGAGATTGTGGATGCAGGAGGTTGAAATGAGTTTCCTCTGCAGGGTAACTGGACTCTCCCTTAGAAACAGGGTGAGAAGTTCAATTAGCCGGAGAGACTCGGAGTTGAACCGCTGCTCCTCCACGTCGAGAGGAGCCAGTTGAGGTGGTTCGGGCATCTGGTAAGGATGCTTCCTGGGCGCCTCCTGATGGAGGTGCTTCGGGCATATCCGACTGGGAGGAGACACCGGGGAAGACCCGAGAAACACTGGAGAGACTATCTCTCTCAGTTGGCCTGGGAACGCCTTGGAGTCCTCCCAGAACAGCTAAAGCTGTGGCTGTGGAAAGAGATATGTGGACCTCCCTGCTCAAGCTGCTGCTGCAGATGGATGGATGGATGTTGCAACATTTCTTTTATCCAGTCTTCACTGCATTCCAATGAGCACCTTTGATCTTCTCATAAACATTTTACAAATATCTTTCTTGTTTTTTCTTTTAGTGCCCATGTGACATCCCATAGCGACCTCTGAAGACGAGGACCTCCCTTCTGGTTTCTGCTCTGAGCTCCAGCAGAAGTCATCACTTGGAACAGCGTTCTTACCCGTGTGTGTCTTAAACTAAATCTATGCAGAGTTTTAAAATGGAGGAGAAATGACTGCAGATGTGTTCCTCCCAGGCTTCATTCTTATCGCAAGCTGCTTTTGGTTTGTTTGGAAACGAGAGGTGGTTTGTTCACTTTGCATGCTCTTCCTGTAGTCTTCCATAAAACTAACATCTGTCTGGAGGGCAGAAAGTTGGTCTCAGACACAGAACTGATTGGCTCTGTGGTATATACGGAACCGTTGCAAAAAGTACCAACACTGGACTTATCAAATAACTGCTGTAATAACCTCTGTTTCTTTCTTTTTAAATATTTTTAAATCAGATTAATATGACAGAGGCACTTTCTTAAATACGTTTTGTAAATGCCCAGAATGACCATGAACAAAATGGAGGAAAATAAAAATATTTTTTAAGACTAGTAATAATTAAGTTATTACTAGCAGCTAACCTGTCGGGAACGTATTTAAACGTATTTAAATGTATTTAAACGTACAACAGATGGTGCACGTTGAGGGACTTTTTTATGAACTCATCTCAAAATGATACTTTTCTAATAATTTTGATAAGGTCTTCTGTTTATTTTGCTACATTAGAAACCAGCGAGGTGTAGATGACACTCGTGCACACCTCATCTGTCTCTTCAGTTTAAGACCTTTAACCCCACAACCAAGTTCAGACCCTCAGAAATCATTTGGAGCCATAAGGACCTCAGTTTGGTCCCCACTTTTCAGGTTGTCCTTTTATGTTGGGGTTTTGACCCCATTGTAGATTAAAAAAACAGATTATTTTAATAGCTTCCAGAGTAATTTTTTTAAATATGCATATGGACAGAAAACATATGATTCTAGGAATGCCAGCAAAGAAAAAAAAAGAAGAAGAAAGAAATGTAACGTTCCACTTGCTGCTGCTTCAGTGTGTTGGATGTAGGTTATTTTCACTGCAGGGAAATTTAGGCCCTGTTAACACGATGCGTTTTTGGAGTGAAACTGCTGCGGTTCAGCCGTTCATTTACACAAGAGCTCTCAGTCAACGGAATGTTTCTGAATCCAGGTCTCAGAGTGGAGATTTTCAGGGGAACACACACACACACACACACCCCCCCCCCCCATGGAGGTGTGAAACGCTCCGCAGTGTGAAGTTGCACATGCGCACTACAGGCGGCTGCAGTCAAAGGTTTTGCTGCACTAACAGTTATGATAAATGGCAGAGAGCAGAGTGTTTTTGTGCCACTCACCCTTTGCATGTAGGAGCAAAACTAGTAAAATCCAGGGTCCAATGAGACGTTAGTGCAGGGGTCTGCAATCTGCGGCTCTGGGGCCACATGTGGCTCATTGGTACCTCTACAGCGGCTCTTTCAGGCTTTGTCCAAAATTAACATAAAACTGAATTTTACTTAAATTATTGCCAGCAATGAAAACTGCTAGTTTTAGCAGATTTCCTGTAATTTTCAAATAAGTAAATGATAGTACAAATACAAGACGTAAAACATGTGGACTACATCATGCTAGTACCGTATTTTCTGACGTACACGTCGCACCACCCTATAAGTCACATCAGTCCAAATATGTCTAAAAAAAAAAAAAGGAAAAATCCAAAAATATGTTGCTTCACTGTATACGTCGCATCTATTATGCGTCACCGCTGACAAACCGGAAATGTGGACCGGTGTTATGCCAAAAATTGATGGGCTGCCAAATGGCGGCCGCGAGCACAGGAGAACTTTAACAAGAACTGAACAAGATTAACACTTAAAAACAATTATTTGTTTGCACGAAATTATAGTAAAGGTGTGTCTCAGTTTAACTTTTGCTTAATAAATGCACTTTGATAGTCAAATCAGCTGCATTTCAAAACCCGATTCACGGAAGCGAGCACGTGCAGAGGGACGAGCCTCTGTGCATTTCTTCGAAATCCAAAAAAGATAAATACCTAAAAAATAATTTGTTTGCTTGAAATTATAGCAAGGTGTGTCTCAGTCTAATTTTTCCTTAATAAATGCACTTTGACGGTCAAATCATCAGCTGCATTTTCCAAAACCAATATGCGGAAACATGAACGCGCAGATTGCGACTCGCTGTCCATTCATTTGAAATTTAACAAGATAAGCACCTAAAAACAATTATTTGTTAGCTTGACTTTATAGTAAAGGTGTGTCTCAGTTGAACTTTTACTTAATAAATGCACTTCAATGGTCAAATCAGCTGCATTTCGCCAGGGCAGCGCAGCAAAATGAAGCTGATTTGGTTGCCCCAGGCAGACAGTGGCCGACTGTGGCAAGCCAATTGTGTTATTATATTCAAAGCAGTCTGCTCCTCAGATAAATAGTGTTAAATTATTATGTTTATGTATGGATGTTTCTGTTCAGTGCCCTGAGCTGACTTCTGTTGTAACTTGGCGCTATAAATAAATAAACTGAATTGAATTGGGTTTAATAGCCACTTTTTACCCATTACATGATACAACGGCATGCCTTACTACTCTGCTGCCATCTAGTGGCTGAAAATGATAGTGTTGAAAAATTTTAGTCAGAATGAATGAAAACGATCATATCTCAGCCAAAAATTGGTTTATAAATATGGGGGGAAATCCATAAATATGTTGCTTCGACCTACAAGTCGCAGGGCATGTAAATTTTGCAAAAAAAAAGTGACTTATACTGTGAAAAATACAGTAGCTTGTTAACCACTTTATGTCAACTTCCAGTCAGCGTGATCTTTCTCTCAAAAACACCAGAATGTTTTGGAATATCTTAAGACAAGCTGCTGAAAGGGCATTTTTGATGACAGTGCTGGTAAGAATAAAACACAAAAAACAAAGTCAAAGTAAACTAAAGTATTTGTTTTTATTTAAAAATGTAACTGGATATCCAACAAACTGGTCTAATTTTACACTGTCTTTAACTTTATGCTTTAAGTAGGACACTTAATTCTTCAACAATTAAGAGAACTCACGTAGACCTGCAGAATTCAGTGTTTTAATTTATATAAAATTGTTAAAAATATATATGTTTCATTCTTTACATGAATCTGCTCTTTTATTTTGCATTAAAATTAAAAATATCAATAAATGTTAATAGTTGGACATTTTTCATTCATTCATTCAACCTTTATTTAAACAGATAAATCACATTGAGCCTCGAAGACTCATTTACAAGTGAGACCTGTTTGGACAGACAAAAACAGTGGTTAACTGGACACATGTAGGAGTTGGAAAAAAAATCCTATCAGATTTTTTTTTTTCCTGCCTGAGAAAAAAAAAAACCTCTAATCCAAAAAAGTTCAATCTGGTCCTCTGGACATTCAAAAAAACAAAAAATAAAACAAAGCAAAAAAATGTAGAAACGTTTCGTCTCTCGTCCGAGAGACTTCCTCAGTCTGAGGTGCTGTTTTCAGCTCAGTCTCTTAAATAGCACCTTCTCAGAGTGGATCAACCAGTTTGCTGTTGACAACCAAAACCAGCTGATCACATGCTCAAGAAGGACCATCAGCCTAACAATGGATCATTAGCACACTGATGGATGTTTACTATTCACAGAGGGTTGAGTGATACTAGCAATAACAGCATTGTAAGCCTGTAAACCTCTAATATTAAAAAAAAAAACCACCTCGCACAAACAAGCACATATTTACGTAGACAATCTGCAGACGGGGAGACGAGAGCAGTCAGCAATGTTCATAGATGCTCTCGAGGTCACTGTAAGAGTTCTGATGAGGATGGAATAATCAGCCAATGTCCTCCGATGAGATCCATAAACATTCTCGAGGTATGTCGAGGAATGGCCAAGAATAACGTCTATGAGAATCCAAGAGTCCTGAAATGATGACATAAAGTTTATTCAGCTGGTTTCATCTGGTTATAATTCCTCAGGGAGGGGGTGGTGAGCATCAGATCACATGTTCTCCAGGCGAATTCAGATAAGATGGCCTTCAAGGCCAACCAAGGGAGCCAAATTCAGATAAACACACAGTTGTTTTGGGGACAGGCAGAACTTAATGACATCTACCTTGAGTCTGTGTTGGTCCACTCGGTTCCAAAATGTCAATATTACATGGCCACACCGAAGGAACGTGACTGAGTAAAATCCCCAAGATCTGATCCATTCTGCCCAAAGCATTTGAGTCTGGGTACTCGAGACACGAACCAAGCCATCATAAAGGCAAGCAGCGTGATCGGGTCCAAATTTGTTGCCGACGACTTCCTTGAGTTTAGATAAAACCAGCAACCAGTCGAATCCAAAAAGCAGGAACCAGTTAACGTAAATCTAATTAAATATGCGTCCTTAAAATCCACAAATGGCAGCAGAGATAGACACATCATCAAGTCTTCCAGTCGATGAGATATCCAGCTGCGTGCGTGCCAACAGGGCAAATCGGCTCACCTAAAGCCTGTCTTCTCTTTGAAGAAATGTTGTAAATTGAGTTGAGGGACCAACTGATCAAAACAAGTCCATAATTATGGTTCGGAGGATATGCAAGAGAGTCTCACAAGCAGTTTCACAGACAGAGCAGCAAAGCAAAGCGGAGAGGGAGGGGGAAGCATCCGATCTCGGCGAGAGGAAGTGGTCATTTTATAATATCACCCCCACTGGCTGGAAAAGCTATCTCCAACTTAAAACTTGTAGTGGTCTATGAGCCACCAGTCGATAGTACACAGTTGTACACAGACTTTGTGGCTCCGGACATCATAATTACTGAACAAAGTGGCAAAAATGGTTATTTTTTTATTGTAAAGGTTGTAGACCCCTGGGTTAGTGAATTCACCAGTTTGAATGTAACTTTGATCATGCAGACGCTGCCTGCTCAACGAATGCAGCTCAGGGTTGCCAGATAAATTTAAATTGTCTTATTTACCCCCTCCTTTTCTGTGCACATGTTCAAAAAACACAACACACACCTCATCTTAGAATATATTTACTTGGCACATATGGCAGTTTAGGTCAAAATACTGTCATTTTAAAGCCACAGTACTATAGTTCATAATTTCTTATCTGGCAACCCGAATGACTTGGAAACTACAGGACAGCATTTTCGTGTAAACCCACTCTTTTTTTTTTTTTTTTTCATTCCCCCAATAAACATTGAAAAACACTGACGTTTTCCAGAGGTTGTTCTCATTTAAACAGGTGGTTAAATTCAGACTTGACTAAAATACTATTTTTATCAGGATACAAAGGTTCCCTGGAGAGAATTTTGTGTGTTGAATTGAAAAGCAGGAACTGCTGTGCAAACATTTCTGCCTCTGCAGTCGTCAGAGTTACAGAACTATCCTCCACATGCAGACTATGGATCTTCCCACCACATATATAATACTTATTTAATCCAGCCATCAGTCACAATGAATAATTTTGCATAATGACGGCTTTTATATTGGCGATGTAAGAGAGTGGAACTTTGAAGGGACTTTTTTTTATTTATTTAGCGATTAACTCAGAAATGTTGAAGCTCTGGGGAAACTATGAACAGTTAATGTCTTACTTGTTGTGGATAGCTCTTTGAGCAATCTCAGTTTGGAGAAATAAAGTTTAGTTTTGACCAGATTGCCAGGATGACTGCTAGTCTGAGTGATTCCAAGACTAATGTAGATTGCTGCCATCTTTAAACAACTCCAGTTTCATCACTGTCAGTTTTGCACCACACAGCTATTCTGGTGGAAATATTGCTTTGTACATGTAGCAGTTCATATGAACACTAATTTATGAACCTTTACTCAGCCAACTCGGGTTTCAGCTCTGCTTGGACTCATTAAACACTATTTCTCCAAATCGAGGTTACTCAAACAGCTATCTACAGCAGGTAAGATATTTGTTTATAACCTTTCCTTTTTAATAGTAATACTGCTCCTTCGTGAACGCTGTTAATTTGTCTTTGTGAAATATTTGTTGCCTACATCATTTGTGTCTTCACCTTCATTTCTCATTTTAACAACATTAAGTTGATGAAGAATGTGTCTGAGACAGACATTTGCAAAGTGTGGTTAGATTATATTTTAGTAACTTTTTTAAAAAGTCTACATTTTGTACCTGATGTGTAATGATGTAATTTAAGTACCAGATTAAAACTGTGTTTCACACGAGTGTCAAATGTCAAAATGTAACATTTAACAAAGTGGGTTTGGATTGGACACCACACACTGAGTCTTTGGCCTGTAATGTTTGCATAATGCACTGAAATGCTTAAGGATCGCAGATTAAACACAGCTTTTCTCACAAATATTGTGTTTTCTTATTGAAGCCAGGACAAAGCACACCGGAGCACCTTTCTTTTTTTTGTTTGGTCTAAGATCTGAATATGAGTGAAGTCAACCTAGATAACCTAAAGGTTGGGGGAAAGTGTAAATGCAATTCAATATGTGGCTCAACTTGAATAAAGTGTTGAACAGAGAGACTACTGCTACACAGAAATTCAACTGTGCATTGTCAAATTTAGGTTTTGTAATTTGTCATACAGGTGCTGGTCATAAAATTAGAATATCATGAAAAAGTTGATTTATTTCAGTAATTCCATTCAAAAAGTGAAACGTATATTATATTCATTCATTACACTCAGACTGATATATTTCAAATGTTTATTTCTTTTAATGTTGATGATTATAACTGACAATTAATGAAAACCGCAAATTCAGTGTCTCAGAAAATTAGAATATTGTGAAAACGTTCAATATTCAAGGCACCTGGTGCCACACTCCAATCAGCTAATTAACTCAAAACACCTGCAAAGGCCTTTAAATGGTCTCTCAGTCTAATTCTGTAGGCTACACAATCATGGGGAAGACTGCTGACTTGACAGTTGAATAAAAGACGACCATTGACACCTTGCACAAGGAGGGCAAGACACAAAAGGTCATTGCTAAAGAGGCTGGCTGTTCACAGAGCTCTGTGTCCAAGCACATTAATAGATAGAAGAAGTGAGGGAAACAATGTAGTAGAAAAAAGTGTACAAGCAATAGGGATAACTGCACCCTAGAGAGGATTGTGAAACAAAACCAATTCCAAAATGTGGGGGAGATTCACAGAGTGGACTGCAGCTGAAGTTGGTGCTTCAAAAACCACCACGCACAGACATATGCAAGACATGGGTTTCAGCTGTCACATTCCTTGTGTCAAGCCACTCTTGAACAAGAGACAGCATCAGAAGCGTCTCACCTGGGACTGCTGCTGAATGGTCCAAAGTTATGTTCTCTGATTAAAGTAAATTTTGCATTTCCTTTGGAAATCAAGGTCCCAGAGTCTGGAGGAAGAGAGCGGCACAGAATCTATATTATTTGAGGTCCAGTGTCAAGTTTCCACAGTCAGTGATGGTTTGGGGTGCCATGTCATCTGCTGGTGTTGGTCCACTGTGTTTTCTGAGGTCCAAGGTCAACGCAGCCGTCTACCAGCAAGTTTTGGAGCACTTCATGCTTCCTGCTGCTGACCAACTTTATGGAGAAGCAGATTTCATTTTCCAACAGGACTTGCACCTGCACACAGTACCAAAGCTACCAGTACCTGGTTTAAGGACCATGGCATCCCTGTTCTTAATTGACCAACAAACTCGCCTGACCTTAACCCCATAGAAAATATATTGTGAAGAGGAAGATGTGATACACCAGACCCAACAATTCAGAAGAGCTGAAGACCACTATCAGAGCAACCTGGGCTCATAACACCTGAGCAGTGCCACAGACTGATCGACTCCATGCCACGCTGCATTGATGCAGTAATCCAGACAAAAGGAGCAACAACTAAGTATTGATGCTGTACATGTTCATACTTTTCATGTTCATACTTTTCAATTGGCCAACATTTCTAAAAAAAAAAATTTATTGGTCTTAACAAGTAATATTCTAATTTTCTGAGATATTGAATTTGGGGTTTTCATTAGTTGTCAGTTATAATAAACAACATTAAAAGAAATAAATATTTGAAATATATCAGTCTGTGTGTAATGAATGAATATAATCTACAAGTTTCACTTTTTGAATGGAGTTACTGAAATAAATCAACTTTTTCATGATATTCTAATTTTATGACCAGCACATGCATATTATGGACGCATCAAGTCTACTGAGCTTCATAGAAGAAAGCTCATATGTTATTTTCAGGCAGGAGCTGCTTGACTCCCTTTTACATTTCTTCAACTTCCTTCATGACTATTTATAACTATTACTCATGTTGAAACGTCTCTGATTGTTTTATCACTTGAAGAGTGGCGTTTGAAATGGAAATTTCTCCGTCATTATGTCTCGAGTCAACCAGATGGTGCTTCCTGAGGAAACCCGGTGGTTCAGCTGCAACAGATGGCTATTTGATGCCACGTGTGGTTGGCAGTGGTCACGGGTGGCCAGAGAAGTGTCGCTTTTTACACAGCCAGTGACGGGCAGCATGTGCTGCAGCAGATCCGTTTACTGCTGTGAAGAGCAAAATAAATAAAATATATTTTTTTTAAAAACTGTCTGGGCTTGTACTTGAACTCATATAGTCATCAGCAAGAGCAGACATTACTAATGAGGTAGGCAAGGAAAGCTGGACTTTGCAGAGGAGAGAACTTCAGTCAGATACATATATTAATATATTTACATTAAAAATACAAAGAAGTTAAAAGTCCTTGCAGTATTGTATGAATGCATATCACCTGCTGCCTTTCATGCAAGGGTTTTAGACTAAAATAATCTTATGAGGAAAAGTGACAGAGTTGAAGTCTCTTCCGCCAAACTCTGAGGTGCTGTCTCATGCGACATCACAAGATGCTGCACTCAGATTGTGTGCTTTGAATGACTCTCAGCTACTACCACTAATTTTAGATCAATATCTGAAACAATAACTGAGTTAAAGTCATTTGTGTGTTTTCTAAGTTGAGTTGGCTGTGGCAGCCATTTTGATTTGGATTAACTCCAACAGTTAATCACTTTTACATGTATATCCAATTATACGTCCATTAACGTTTCACTAAACTCTGCCCAGTAGTTTGTTAGATATTTTGCTAACAGACAGGCAGGATTGACTCCAAATTGTTGATGGCAAAAAATGATAGAAGAATCTTGTACAGACTGGTAGCACTTGGTGTATTTGTTGGAGATCTCTCTCAGCTACTACTATAACACATTTTACTGCAATGTCTGTTAAACTGACTGAACTACAGCCAGTTTAGTATTTTTTAAGGTCAGGTTGCTGTGGCAGCCGCTTTCATTGGGATTAACTTCAAAAGTTAATAAATTATAGATGCACACCCAATGATTACTTTCTGAGGTCTTCATTTAAATCCGTTCAGTGGTTCATGAGGTATTTTGCTGACAGTCTGTCTGACTTAACTATTAATGGCAAAATGACGCGTCGTTGCCATGACAGCAACTATCCACTAGGGGGCAGCATCGTACAGGTAGTACATCTTTTCACCCAAAGGCCCGAATTAAAAGCAGATGTGCAAAATCAGTGTAAAACTGTCAAAACAGTGAAAGTGGGATACAGTGCACTTTTTATTTTTGCTTGTTGTCTAACACAAGAACACGTTAAAGCCTAAGGAGATTTTTCTTTTATGTTTACATCGTTTTGTTTATTTTATCTGGCGCCTAAGAATGGTACCCCAACTTCATATAGCTTTTATATTTGATCAAATCCTAGGACCCGGTCTCGCCAACTAGCTTCAAGTAATATTAATTATTTGTTCTCAGTGATTGCCCATCCATGTTGGTTACTGCTCCTATTCTGGGTGACATAAACAGACTGGGTTGGTTTGACACGAAGGGAGGAGCTCCGCTCACAACAGCAGAAGACCTGGCAACTCCGCGAGGAAGGAAGCGGAAATCAGCCCTGTGCTAGCAGCTAGCTCCAGGCTCCTCGGACTGGGTGTAAAAAGCGACGCTACTCGAACTGTCGGTTTGGTCGCCTCTCAGGAGAGGAACCCGGGGAGAGCACAGTTTCACGACTGCGTCTTGTTTCTCACCGTGGAACCTTCTGGACGGAATCTCTCAAGCGGTAAGATATCCTCGCGTTTTTCCGTTCAGCGTCGCGCGCGTTCAAGTCATTTCTCTTCAAGTTCAGAAGCGATAGCTGCCTCTAAGCTAGCAACAACAGCTCGCGCTGTGAAAAAAGGTGTTTTCTTCCTTTCCCCACAACGTGAAGCGCTTCAGGAGGGCTTGAACGCATACTACTAAGCGTTCGTTTTCTTTTTAATCGGGCTACTAGCGCTGTGTGAACGCTGTGAGGGGTTTGGCCGCTGGTATATTAAAAAAACAGAGTTTAGTTTAATAATCATACTGCAGCGCAGTTATTGTTGACCGACCGTTAGCCGGTGTGCTAACACCGATGTTGTAGAACGGTGGGCGCAGTCTATTTGCTGGAACCGAGTCGCTCCTCTTTTTTTTAAAAGCCTGACTTGGGGACCGGTTTTACATGGGTTCTGGTGACAACAAAGAGACGGGTAAGATTGTACATTGGATATTTGTGCCGAGTTAGGGAGGAAACTGCAAAAGTGATTCAATTAGTGAGGGCACTTGCAGTTCATTTCCCCCTAGCAGCTTCCATTTTTTATTCATGTTTTGATCGCTGATAAAGTGTTATAACAAGAGTTGAGACTTGCTACATCAAACATAGTCATTGTGTTGCTGTAATGAATACTCCTTCATAGTTCCAGTTGCGTATATGTGGGTATATTTGTAACTAAACTGGATGGATGTGTCATGATGTGGCAGGCTGTCTGCTTTTAATGACCTTTTTAGGTCCGGAGCTGTATTACTGTGAGCTCATCAGAGCTGCACCATCGCCTATTAGACAATTGGATAAGGTACCTTTTAATCAGTTTAACCCAGCAGCTAGCTCCAGGTTTAGCCACCATCACTGTCAGCTCAGCTGGAGTATAGACTGACCTGTTATCTTCAGCTGTTGTTGTTCAGAGAAGTCTGTAGGAATGATTGTGGTGTGACCCTTGGACCAATATTATCTGAAGGTCCAAGGTATGTTTGATATTACAAAAAATCGTTGAAACTGCTCTCTTTTGTTTAAGTGTTTAATGTGACATCATCTTGTTATTACTATAATACAAGCTCCCACAGCTGCTCTGAAAAATGAACCCTGAAGCACACTGATTTAAAACGAATCAAAAGTTTTACTTATTATAAACGCCATAAAAAAAGTAAAATAAACAATACAAACTGTCTGAAAGTTCAGTAGTACTACATAAACGGTTTATAAACTGGTTGTTCATGAAGTCATGGATGCAGCGCAGGAGCTATGTACATATTGAAAAGACCTTGGCTCTGTTTGAGAAGATATGCTCAGAGGAAGTGGCAGAAATATGCAAGTGATTCAGTCGATAAGGCAAGATCGCAATATTTCACGCGTTCAGTTCCCATTGACGTGACTTTCAGTCGAGACCAGCTGCTCTCAGAAGTGCATTGGCGTGATGGAACAGTTCAAAATCATGGCTCGCCACCTTTAATGTCATCTTATTCTTAGAAATATTAGATTTGTAGCTATTTGGGCAAACCTTAAAAACAACGTTCTGAATGATATCGTGCTCGCTCAGATTATGTGTGTGTTGGGGATAACTCGGCTACTATCACACCAAGTTTTAGCTCATTATATATAAAAATGAATGAGCTGTAGATATTTTTGTTTGTTCAGGTCAGTTGGCTGTGGTAGACGACGACATCTTGAAATATGTCGGATCCAGAAGTTCATTCATTTTAGATTTACCTCTAAATAAATTTCAATAAAATACACCCACTTCTATCAGATACACACACACAGACTTTACTATTCCATTGAACACCATAACATAAATGAAATGGTGATTGTTCTTAAATATTTCCCAGCAAATGTTAGCAAGTTGTTTTATGCAACTCACTAACTTTTATGTTTTAAAACATTTTAAATGTGTTATTCTTTAGTGACAAAGCTCTACAAGAAAGCTCATCTTTACAAAGTTTGGATTTAACGTTTCGTTTTTTATGTGAAACACTCCCATAGTTTTTCGTCTTTGGCCCTTCTTACACAATACTATTTTGAAGTGAAACTTCAACATTTCTTTTGTGTTTCGGCTGTTCTTCTATTCAACAACAGCAGCCTTTTTTTTAATGCAAAATTTTTGATCCAGGTTTTGTCTTTTGTAAACTCCTGGCGTCGTTTCAAGGGAAACCACAACTATAGAGTAATCACATGCGCACTGACGGCTGCAGTCAATAGTTTTTCTGAATTTATGCATGTAAATCAACAACTGTAACAATGGGGGATAAGCAGAGTGCTGTTTGTTCTGCTCACTATATTCCCTTTATCAAAGCCTATAATGCAGAACATATATGTGCTACATTTCCTCGATCAGCAGAGACACATTTCACTCAGTCTACAAACAGTGTTGGTAAAAAAAAAAAGTCTACTCACCATTTTGGAAATACATTTTCATGCTGGATTTGCGTTTGAAATATCAGCACGCATATAAAAATAAGAGCGCCAGCTACTGACCTGGCTGACAACTACAGCAGGTCTTTGCGGTCTCGTCTAAGCAACGATTGCGATCACAGCGTTACCGTATGAACGTGTCACTTTTCCACAAATAATGTATAAAAAATCTTTTACGTTTTTCAAAGCCGTTCGGGATCTTAGTATTGGCCACAGTCTTGGTAGATCAAAGTCAAAGTTGGAGATTAGTCTTTTACTAGTTAAATATAAAAGCAGATCTTTTTGTGTTGGAACAAACATTTCCTTGTTAAAGTTTTTAAACTGTCTGTCTTTATTTACATGCTGTACCAAACTGAGTATCACACGATTCCTGTTCTCCAGGTGCTGAACTCTGACCTGTATGTGAGGTCCAAGTCCTTAAAAGAACAGGAGGAGAGACTTGGAGAAAAGCATTTGACCACAGAAGCCTACGTTACACAGTTCCATCATAGAAACTCGACTAGCCAAGTCGATTTCCAACACCACGCAGCGACCATGGAGGCCATCGCCAAATACGACTTTAAAGCTACAGCTGATGATGAGCTTAGTTTCAAACGTGGAGAAGTCCTGAAGGTAAGTCATCGCTGTTTCATCCGTCGATCTTTAGACTTATGTGTTTCACATGTTGGAGGTTATTGTTGACACGTCTTTACATGAAATGAGCTGGAAATGGTGAGAATATTTAAAATAATTCATTGAAGCCATAATTGGTGAAAGAATGTTTGCTCTCGCAGGATGACATAAAACCCACTGCCGTTTTAATGGCAGAGTTCCACTTGAACTGGAAAAGTAGATTTCAGTCCCAGATGCTGTCCATGTTGAGTGCCCAAAGCATCAACATTTTAAATTTACACAATAAAAGCAGAGAGTACCTGTGCTGCGCAGCATATCAGGTCCAGTGAAAGCGGTGATATGTTTTGCATCATGAACTATATAAAGAGCCGCGCTCGATACCCTGGACTGCTGAGATTGTCAGGTGTAGTTTGTTGTAAAGATTTTTGCTTTCACGTTGCCTGTCATCCTCCAACTTTGATGGCAAAGTTCTGTTTGAAATCCTTTGGATTCAAATGTAATCTCTCCTGTCTCTGTTTAGTATCAGCGTGTGGGTGCAAAAACAGATTAAATAATTTTTTTAGCTAAAACATCCCTTTTACCATTTGCAGCCTTAAGGACTTTAGTTTCTGTCATTGGGTTTTAAGCTTAGTCAGTATTTTTTTTTCTAGTTGTACTTATAGTATTCTGGGAAGATGTTCTCAAATGCAGTAGTACCCTTAAGCTGCTGACTGATTATTGAGGAAATAGCCTTTTACAAAAGGACCACTTTGCATTGTGCATGCTAGTAAGTTGTTCTGCTTTTAATCTTGCTTTTACATACAATATTTGCTTTGCATTGTTACATCAGTATACATTTTACAAAGCCTAAAATATTTGTATTTAATTGTAACTGTTGTGGAAGAGTTTACTGCTCTGTGAGAGGATGGCCACTGCTTTACCCCATGAAAAGATTTCTGCAAACGGTCTTGAAAAGACTTCTTATCACAGTGGGGGACCTGGAGGCAGAGAGAAAGTCAGCTTAGGGAAGGCTGAGCCAAATTCTGAGCTAAATACGACTCCTGCCACATTTGCATGTGAGAAAAGAAGGCACTTTGCTTTTCCACTAATTTTACCAAACAGCTGTTTTCTTGGAAAATGGCATGATCATGCTCTTCCTTTTGGCAACTTCATAAGAAATGGCACATTTTACACTTTTGACAACTTGTCTGCTCGTTACTGAGTCATTTATATACATTTAGTATTAATTTTGTAACATTTAAGTGAAAAGATTCTGTAAAAGCACAATTTTGAGCAACAATTTTTTAATGTATTGCAGGTAAAGTCAGTGCAAAAATTATATAGTGCTCTAGTCTCTCCACTGCTCACTTCAACTCAGGGTTTTCGTCAATCTTGTGTGGTGCCTGAATATGTGCAAAGTTGTCATAATGCAGCTTCCGAAACCTCTGTGACAGCTTTTTGTTCAAGGCAGACACAACAGAGCAGTGGGCAAGTGAGTAAACTGAAGTCACAAAACGCCTTCTTCGGTCACAATTTCCAAAAAGGCTGTGGCCGAGTCAACGCCACTTTCCCTTCGATGGTCAGAGCTTGTAAATGGAGTCCATTTGTTCTAACTCCCTGTGAATTCTGTTGTCAGCCAACAAGCACAGAAATGTCTGCACCTCCTGTTGGTTTACGTATTCATTCATTCATTCAACCTTTATTTAGACAGGTTAATCCCATTGAGCCTCGAGGACTCATTCACAAGAGAGACCTCCATCCATCCATCCATTTTCTTTACCCGCTTATTCCATTTTGGGTCACGGGGGTCGCTGGTGCCCATGTCCAGCAATCACTGTGCGAGGGGCGGGGAAGAGAGACCTGATTTCAACAAAGAACTATGACAACAATGGACAACAATAGACAATTATAAAAAGGCATACAGATTATTTTTTTTTACAAATAAAAATAAGATGGCAAAAAAAAGTAGCAAAAACAGGTAGATTGTATATGTTATATATGTTGCCAAATTAATGGATGTACAGTAGTCCCTCGCTATTTCTCGGTTCGTTTTTCGCGGACTCGCTCTATCATGGTTTTTCAAAGTAAGATTGGACATGAGACACAATTGGCTCATTGATGGATGAGCCACACGATGGGCATGGCATTTTTATTTAAAATAAATTATTTTAAATTACTTGGCTCCTGCAGCACCTCTGTGTAGCCTACACTGCAGGTTAAACTTCCTGCTGCAGCTGATCAGCTGTTCTCCGTGCAGAGCAGAGAAGTGGGCGTGGCCAAGAGCACTTGCAGGTGGCTGAGAGCAGTGAGACAGAGAGAGAGGGAAATCATGACATGCTGTGCTCTTTTAGAGCATTTAGGGTTTATAAACATTGTTTAGAATATTGCAAGAGTGTGTGAAGGGTTTTTAAAATGGTGGGTTTGAGTCTTGTGAAGGAGTTTTTTTCATGATGGATGTTTCTGGCTAATCAATGACCTGCAGTCTGTTGAGGTCATATCTTCGATTTTTTTTTTTTATTGTACTCTAATAATCCCCAATGGGGAAATTAATTCTCTGCATTTTTCCCATTGCGCATTAAGTGCACATGCGAAGCAGTGGGCTACCATCCAAAGTGCCCGGGTAGTATCTGGGGGCGTTAAAGGCATTGCTCATGGGCCCAGAGTGGAGCAAAATGAGGGTGGAGGCAGGTCTTTAGCTCACTTGGAACTTGTAGAACCCAAGCAACAAGCTGTAAGCGGGTGGAGTCACCTAATTCAAAACGACTGAAGCCACGCCGAGTCAATTCCACGGAAAAGTGCCATTGTTTTTATTTAGTAACCCTCTTAATTATTTCTTCAGTAATTGTGCATTAGAAGTAAGGCAGAATGTTTTGTTTGGCTTAAGAGAAACTGATGGGAACATCCTCCTCCTGTCATTCACTAAAACCAACCAGCACCTGGGTGAACTGCGCTACATGTTTTTTAGGACCTTGTTTGCATGACACATTTTTTTGAGTGAGGCCATTCATTTACACAACAGCCTTCATTCTTTCTGAAACCAAAAGTTTCTGAATCCGAGTCTCAGTGAAGTATTTCAGGGGAACACCAGGCAAAGGTGTGAAATGCTAGGTGTATAATCACACGTGCACTACAGGTGGCTGCAGGTATAAGTTTTTCTGCACCAACAACTAGGGATGCACCGATCCACTTTTATTTTTTTTCGATCCCGATACCTAGATCTGAGTATCGGCCGATACCGATCCAGTTCCGATATCATGATCATCATTGATTTTATATGAGGCTGTAATAATCTCCTCTCAAGTACAATTTGTACAAATATATATGCATGTATGTCCAAAAAGGCAACTTGAGGTAAGTTTTATTAATGTTGGATAAGTTTCAAAGTTATAATTAAATTCTGCTAACACAAAACATGTTTCTTTTTATTCCTAGCTTTAAAGTGGAGATTAATATGATTAATTTAAGTGATTGTTTAAAGTTGTTTTATATTTTATAAGGGGCAGATGTAGTAATTTTTTCTTCTTTCTGCACTCTTCATGTATTTTTTAATGATTTTTTTTATTTTATTTTGTTTCATTTAAATGAATGAATAAATGAATTAAATTAAATGTTAAATGGCTTCAAACATCTGCTAAGTTCATGGCATAAACCAACAGACATGTTCCTGTTTTTAGTATTTTACATCACTTTATAATGTAGCTGTTTATGTTTTTAATATATATACTTTTCAAATCATGTGTTTTTTATGATTGTCTACTGTTGTACTGATAAATATCTCCTGGAGGGTAAACTATATCTTGGCTCCAAGTATCAAGCTGAGAAATCCTTTGTTTTCTACAACTGATGGTGGTTGGTCATTAATTATGATGAAGTTTAGCAACTTCTCTGTAAACATTTGAGCTCCGTGGTTTCAGCGACGTCTTCTTGTTCAATCTGAAGCAGGCAGTCTGATTTGGGGCAGCTGTGCTCAGTCTGTCCCTCCTCAGAGACGGGCAGACTGAACGGGGCAGATTGGACGCGGCTGCCCGGTGTCGAGTCGCCTCTTTCGGTTTGACCAAAGAGCAGCACCCCGCTGAAGCCACGGAGCTCGAATGTCCATCGTAAAACTAACTTTACCGTGGTTGAATGTGGCGCTATGGCTCTGCAGACATTGCACAATGCTGTCTTATGGTGTTTTTAGTGTAAAATACTTCCACACAGCAGACATGTTTTAGATGAAAAGTTTGTTAGCTGTTAGCCACAGTGCTGCTAACTCAGCCCTCACGTTGTAGCTGGCTGCAAACTATGAACTGGATTTCCTGAATGTGAGGCGGGTCTTATTACTCTGGGTTCATGAGACACTCCGCCATCCAGGAAATCCATTCCATAGTTTGAAGCCAACATGCATCATGGATCGGAAATATCGGCAGGAGGATTGGAAAATCCGATACGTAAATTATGCTGGTATCAGAGGCTTATACCGATACTGGATCGGATCTGCCCCATCCCTACCAACAACAGTTACATTAAATAGCAGAGAGCAGAGTGTTTTTTTGTGCTACTCGCCCTTTTTCAGCATATTTGTCCAACAGCAGCAAAATCCTAGGTCCAATGGGACGTTTCTGTATTCAACAGTTTGTATTCTGATCATGCAGAGACTGTGCATTGCATGCTGCTGAGCATGGAAACTACAATGTTTCCATGTAAACCTGCACTTTTTTTGTTTGTTCCTCCCAATAAACAATGAGAATAGAAACAGGGCCTCGCACAGTATTACGTTTATGAGGCATTAGGTATTCAGGAAGGTTTTCTGTGATCAGGGATTATGAGCCCTTTTTAAAGACACTATTTTGATGTAGCATTGCAGCTCATTTAAATCTTAAAGGACACAGAGCTGCAAGCCAGTATTCTTCTGTTTAGAGTATTTTTTTAAAGAAACTGTATTGTATAAACTCCTCTTTTGTGTGCAAATTAGTCAGTAATTCAGAACTTGAATATATACTGAGCAAAAACATAAATGCAACACTTGCATTTGCTCCCAT